AAAGAGATGGACCTGCTCGTGGAGAGATGAATTTTTTAAAAAGGGGCTTTATCAGATACCACTAGCCAGAGGCAAACATCCTCTGCAGCCCAGGTTCAGGAATACCCAAATAAATTGCATTCCCTGCAGCTGGAGACTGGAAAGAACAGGAAGAAAGGTAAACTCCTCACCACCACCATGCCTGGGGGCAGGAAAAGCAGAGATTTCTCAAAATTATTCAGAATCTCTTACGGAATTCTAATACATATGGCTACACACACATGTAAATACATATTATTTGACAGCTTTTTTCTCCATCTGCTCCTCCTTCCACAGCTCCACAAGGCTCTTCCCTGACACAGAATCTTTTAAGGGATCCTGTAGATTTGCTGTATTTAAAAGTGGAACTGCTGCTGGTCTCTACTCCAGACTCAGCCCCAGCTGCCATAAACCTTATCAGGAACCTGCCAACACAGCCAGCCAGATTCCAGGAGCACAAATTCCACCAGGGAGTACAAAGTGTATCCAAAAGCAAAAGCTTCCACAGAGCATAATTGAGCACAGAAAATGACATGTTAAAACGAGCAGGAACTGGCTGGCTACAGATGTAAATTCATTCATACTTTTACTTTCTTTTTTTAAAGATCTGTGCTGCTCGCTCTGGCTTGTTATGACAGGCTGAGGAGTTAAAAGGAGTTCTCTGTCCTCATCCTGAGCACAGAAACACAAATCCTGCCCTGGAATTACTGCTTCCCTCACAACTTGCAGGAGGGACAGCCCAGCAACAGCAACCAAGACTGGGAAGGGCTCACATTGGGAAGGAAGAGCCACAACATCTCCTCACTTGGCTTAATACATCTTCAGTGGCTCTGCTGCACATTAAATAGGAAAGAATCTCAGGAATAGAGAATAATTAAAATTCACAAGGTCAGAATTGGATAAAGAAAGGGAGGAGATGAAGCACCTGGGAGGAAAAAAACAAAAAAAAAGAAGTTGAAGTTGACAAATTGGAAGGGAGAAGGGATTGTCAGGAGGCAGAGCTTTGGAGCAGAGGGTGGAAGATAGAAAATCACAGAATATTCTGAGCTGGAAGGGACCCACAAGGACACCCCACAAAAGCAAGGCAGCAGCAGAAGAAAGGTAAATAACACAGAGAAATGCAGCTTTATCAAAAAGAACGTGTCAGGAGGCAGAAACCACAAGGACAGAAGAGGGAAGGAAACAGAAGGAAGTGTTTGTACATAGCTGCACATCTCTGTCAGTTGCACAAGTAGATGGTGAGCCTGTCTTTTTGGCAATTCCTTTTAAATTATGAATGAGGAAAAAAACCTGAAAAAACTAAAATCAGGAGCCAACAAATGAAAGGACTGTATTGTTACTCTTTCTCAGCCAGAAATCAGGCAATCTTTACATCTCATTTCAAATGACTTAAAAGGATGAGGCAACGTAGATCAGCACATCCAGACAGCCAAAACGAGTTAAGGCTTAAATGAGGTGAATTTTCCAGAGCTGTAACTCACAAAGCAGCAGCTGTGCCTTCCACGGGGGCATCAGGCTGGGCTTACACAGTGACTTTAAACCCGTGTGAACCTGGGCTGCTGTTGAGCAGCTTTGCTCTCCCTCTCCTCCCTCAGGTACTCATCATTCCTCCTCCCTCCCCTGCCACACTGCACCAGGGACTGGATTTATCACAAAACTTGGGAGAAAAGCCAGGGAAGGCTGATTTCAGGTGGGGAAGCTCCCTGATCCACAGAACCCACCCTGTGGTGCAGCAGAATTAGCTGGGCCAGCAGACCTGGCCCTACGCCTTTAGTCCAGACTAAAGTTAAAACAGACACATAAGCACAACTTCATTCTCTCTAGCAAAACACAAATGTGAAGAAGTTTTAGAAAGGATATCTTAGGATACCTCAGCAAAACCTGAAAAGGCATAACAAGTGCTTTGGAAAAGCAGACCCCAAGCCTTTGAAAAAGCAAGGCCCAATGTTTGATGTAAAGCAATTATCACTTAATGAGTTTATAAAGTCTGTAGCACATAAATACCTCACAGAAATGCCAAGTTGAATTAAAATGTGAATCATACAGAGTTCTTTACAATTCTGCAGGCACTGGTACACACACAAAAGGAAAGCATCCCTGCGTCCCAGCAAACCAAGAGCATTTGCAGACCCTGGCTATGATTTACTTACTACCATCAGTCAAATAAGGCAATCTTAAAACCAAAATAAAATACATTAATTGCTAAAGCCTCTGATAAATTCAGCCATTCACAGCCCAGCAAAATAATTAACTCACTGCCTAAAAGCAGCCAGCGTGGATGGAGCGAAGGACTCCTTGCCATAAATGTTGAAGGGTTTCTACATCACAGGAACTAAACTTACATTTGCCTGTCAAGGAAAAAAAAAACCTTTTTCTCCATCCCAGTGGCAGAAAGACAACCTTTTTTATGGTAGTGCCAACACAGATCTCCCACATGAAAGCATGAGATAGCTTTAGTGAGCCACAGAAGATAAACACATGTCATACCTAAAAGTAAGCCAAAAGGCCCTAAAAGCATCCTGAATCACTTGTTCCCCATATTCCCCAGTCACTGAGCATGAAGAAATTTAACAGAAGAGCCAAACAGATATTGTAAACACAGAAATGTATTTTTAAATCTATTTGCTAACACATTTCAAACACGTTCTTTATTAGAGTCTTGTCAAGTCATGGAAAGAGACTTCAGCTTTAGTGCTACTGAGCTTCCACAGAGGAACAATATAGTTTAAGACTGAAATGGACATTTGGTATTTTTAAAAATAAATACTAGAATTTTACATAGTGTCAAAAGCTATCAAAAAAAAAAAAAAAAAAAAGTAGTTAAACACATATACCTCAACCCTGACCAAGAACCCCCAATTTTTCATAAAGATATCAAAGCTGCTGGTACTGCAAGCATGCTTTATGGGCTGGTAGGCTGCCAAAAATCATCTGCTAATACACCAGACAATAGATGTATTCTGCTGGAGAACTTTCTGATCTTTTCCTCCTATCACTTCTCTTTAGTTGCACATAAAACCCAACCAAAGCGATACAAAAAACGTGATTTGAATGCTTGCATTTATGTGCCAACAAACCAAGCAATTATTCACAATAAAGTAACTTTTTCAAACATGCATTTTTAATCACTGGATTGCAAGCCCTGATTCAGTGTTTCCTGTTGCCATTGCAGCACTTCAGTTTCTGGAATTCTGAGCACAAATTTGTGCTCCTGCAGTGCCCAAAAGCTTCAAAAACCCTACCAAAGGACCCAAACTCTTCTGAGCCTTGATAAACAAATGGCACTGTGCTCAAATTCCACACTTTGGGATAACAGCAGGGGCTTTCTGTGAAAACAAACCTTCCTCACAGAGACAAAAAGATCCTGTGTGTGGTTCCAGCTTTCTGGAACGCTCCGGAACCACGGTGGCTGCATATCCTGAATCCAGCCATAAATGACGGGATATTGGGGTGAGGCTGACACCCAAATTCCCCCAGGAGCATCACACCCTGACCAACACCATGGAGGCCCCAAAGCTCCTCCCTTCCCAATCCAAAGGCCTCTGCATCACACACCAAGATCAGGGCTTGCTCAGCAAATGCTTTTAACCCCAAATTCCCTGGTTCTGATTCTCTTATCTGATATTTGAGCAAATCACTGACAGCACTGAGCTGTCATACCCCATCTCATCATCCCACTCTGAAAGAATGTTTAATCTGTAAATCCACACAGCAATTCTGCAACCAGAGTGCTGAACACACTCAGTGACCACGGGAGTGAATTAAACATATTAACCCAGCTTCCTAATCCCCAACATTAAAATTCAGAAATTTAATTAACTGCAGAAATTAAATTACATTAAAGGAAGATATTTTAAGCTGGCATTTTCACGTTTTCCTGGGTTTGTATCCACAGGCTTATGACATCTTTCAGCAGAATACAGGCTGAAGTGATCATAAGCTCCTGAAAAACAGCAAGTGCTAACAAAACCTGGGCTATGGCAGCAGTACCCAGCCTAGATGCTCTAAAAAGAACTTTCCATCTAAGGGGGGGAAATTCCTTGGATCAGTCTGTTACTTATTACTCAGCATTTGCGTGTTACACACTCCCCAGAATAATCTTAATCTGAGGAAATGAACGCTGTGATCTTTCCCATTGGAAAAAAAGAAGTGTTTCAACACCCAAAAATACAAGGGGGAGAAAAGGCTCCAGCCTTGACATTCTGATTTATGGAGGACACTGATAAACAGAACTTCATCTGTCAAAGCCAAACACTTGCATTTAATATACAAACATCAAGCAGGAAATCTCATTTAAATAATTAACATGTGGACTGTCCACTGCCAAAAAGAGCAGGGCAGCAATGGACTTCTGCTGAATATTTTACAGGAAATTGAATGATTAATCCTCCATATAATGCCAGGTACCCACTCCCACCATATTTTGTTAAAAGCAAACCTTTAATTTCAGGAGAAGCAAATCACATGAAGTTAAAGGAATAATGAAACCCCCACAACTGATGTTGTGTGGATTTTCTCTATTGTTTTGAACCCATGCAGAGTTTTAAATTATAAATGCAGATATCTTCTTGTAACTTTCTGGTAAAAAAATGCAATCTGCTTGAAAGTGCTTTTCAAAGCTATCTCTAGAGAGACATAAATCATCAGTGCCTTTAAAATATTTTAGTAATTTTAGCAGCCTTTTACAACTGGTAAATCAAAGTCTCAGTATATTATGTAAATAAATATTGCTGAAAAGACCAATGCTTTTTGGATGTTGTTTGTGAGTTTCTTTTAACATTTCCCCCATTGAAAAGAAGAAAAAAAGGGTTTGCATTGTGTTAGCTCCAGTTATAATTTCCAGCTGTGTCAAAACTTTAACAGCCTAAAAGCAGGAAATCCAAAGAGGAAATTCCATCGTCAGTTCCTGAATTTTGTAACTCAAATGTTCTTCCAAAAACTGGACCTTAAAGGAATTTTGGTAACATTTTCTGTAGCCTTACCTGATATCTTCCAGTAGGTCACATTCTGCCTGATGCTTGGCCTGAAGTTTTGTCATCTGCTCAACCTGAATGTTTTTCAGCTCTTGTGTAACTTTCACCTATAAAAAACCCAAACAAACCCAAGGACCACTTATATTTTCTACAGTTCAAGTCACATTTCAACAAGAAAACAAACAAACAAGCCCAAGGACCACTTATATTTCCTGTCGTTTAAGTCACATTTCATCAGAGAAACAAACAAACCAACCCAAGGACCACTTATATTTTCTGTAGTTTAAGTCACATTTCAACAAGAAAACAAACAAACAAATTGGGAAAGGCTTCAGAAGGTCGGATTTACATTTTTAGTACTGTTGTAGTTTTCCTTTGAGCCTTGTGATCCTGCACAGCCAAAACTGCAATACTTTGGGAACCTGCTTGGTAACTGGCAAGGAGCACCAATGGCCCAGGTACTGGGAACAATTTGATTTTGGAAGGCAACCTTGGAATTGTTTTGTTCTTGTTTTTTATTTAAGAAGAGGTCTTGGTATTTAAGCCCTCTAGTGATCACAGGGAATCCACATATTGGCCTCAAAAATGATCACCAATATCTCTCAACACATTATGCATTCATGAGGACAGAAATGCCAAACTGTTACTGCAGAGGGAAGAGAAATTCACAGAGGAAGAGGGCACCCATCTCTCTCTTCTTCACTAGCCAGGCCAAAAAAAAACCAAAACCCTAGATCTTATCAGCTTCCCTATTTTAACTCTGAAAATCATGTCCCAGCAGCAAGCACCCTTTAATCACAACATCACATAAAGACAAGTTTTTCACGACACCAGAAAAATAAATCACATGTATGCCCCTGAATTCAAGCAGAAAACGTGTCTATTTTTAACGTGAACTTTCAGCATTTTTGGTTTTATCTGTATATAAAAAAAAGCCCAACTCCAAATAAATAAACCTACACGATACAAGCCAGGTAATGGAAATAAGCTCAAATGAAATAGTACAGGCAAAGCAAATGAACGTAAAATGAATAAATTAAAACTGAAATAATTGAAATTAAATTGGTTTTGTTTGACAAAAGCAGAGTCAGCCCCTAAAATAAGAGGCTGTGAGGCAGGAATGAGAGACCTTCACTGCAGCTGCCTGCCAGGGCTGCTGGGGAGCTCTGGGCATGACAAGGGAATCCTGCTCACGTTCCCTCCTCTCCTGGTCACTGTGGCAGGGCTTTGCCAGGTGCAGAACTGGGCAATATCCTCTCCCCACGGAGAAATCCCACATCGAAAATCTCCATCACAGCCAGAGCAGCCCAAAGCGGGACATGGAACAGGCACAGGTCTCAGCCCCACGGAAGTCCTGCCCGCACAGGAGCAGCCTCTCCATCCTCTCCATCCTCTGCGCAGCCCGAGCACTCCGCACAACCCCCAGAACGTGCCCAAAAACCACCACGGAGCAGCTGAAGGCAGCCCAGCTCTCGCAGATACCAACCTGCCTAGCCAGACAAGCCACACGGGGCACAGCGCTTATCCCAAATTTCCATTCCCGCTTGCCTCCGCTGCCACACCAGTCCCCCCGGTGGGCAGCGCCCCACATGCCCACGGACCGCAGGGTCACCCGAAGAGCCTCCCCGGCGCATCTGCAGCTTGTTCCCATCGCACGTGGGAACGAGTGGGAAAACGCCGCACAATTCCGGCTGCCCCTGCTCCTGTGTGCTCCTGTGTGCTCCTGGCACACGCCGGGACAGGCTGCGTCCCTGGATCAACTCCAGACGTGACCTTCTTCCCCAAGACAACCAACCCCTCGCTGCTGGCACCAACGCGCCGCGAGAGCCCCCAAAATTCCCGTGGCAGCACCCCACAAGCTGCACGACCTCCACCCCTCCGTGCAGCCGAGCCCTCCGCAGCCACTGCCCCCCTTCCCAGCCCTCCGTGTCCCCTTTGGAGAGCCCCCGCTGGAGAGGGGGGTCCCTGACGGAGCGCTGCCCCCCTGCAACTCCATCCTCGCCACCGCGTCCCCATCCTTGCCCCGTCCTACCGCCCATCCCATCGCACCCCACCGCCCCTCCGTGCCCAGTCCCCAGCACCCCCCGATATCTCCCCAGGACCCACCTTGCAGGGCCACCCTCGCCAAAGCCCCCCGGCCCCCAGCTCGCCGTGCACCCCCCACTCCCTTCCCAACATTCGCGCTCCCTCTCCGAACCTCCCCGCAGCCTCCCCCACCGCACAGCCCACCCTGCGCCCCCCTCCCCGCGGCCTCGGACCCCCGCATCCCCCCGCACCCCAGACCCAGTCCCCCAGAACCCCCCTCAGCCGGCCCCCGGCCCCTCCGCCCTCAGCCCCCCTGCGCCGGGCGGGGGTCGCACCTTCCTCGGCGGCGGCTGCATGGTGGTGGTGGTGGTGCTGCGCTGGGTATCCACATCAATTCCCTCCCCCCCGGCAGCAGGATGCGGCCCCCGCTGCAGGAGGAGGAGCGGCAGGAGGAGGAGGAGCGGGCAGCGACCGTCTCCCTCCCGGTTCGGGGCGAGTCCCGGTCGGCGGGAGGAGCGGGGAAGGAAGGGAGGGATGGAGGCGGGGAGGGATGGCGGGGGGAGGCCGCCTCTTCCTCACGGGCAGCGGAGCGGCGTCCCGGCGCTGGGGAGCGGCGAGGGAAACGAGGCGGCGGAGGGAGAGACTTCGGGAAAAGACGTGGTGGGGAGGGGGAGAAAGAAAAAAAAAAAAAAATAAAAGGAGGAAGGAAAAAGAAAAAAAAAACAGAGAAAAAAAAATCCCTACGCAGCGAGAGGCGTGCGGCGGCCGCGCGCGCCCCCCAGCGGCCGGCCCGGGGCCTGCGCCGCCCCCGGCGGCCGCCATGGGCAGGGGCGGGGCGGGAACGCCCCCGGCGCGCGCGGGGGGTGCGGGGGAGCGCGGCGGCCGCGGGGGGGCGCCAGGGGGCAGCGGCGGGAAGGGAGGGGAGGGGGCGCAATGGGGACACAATGGGGACAGAGTGGGGGTACAGTGGGGGGTGCGAGGGTTTGCACGGGTGTGCACAATGGGGTGTGCACAATGGGCGTGTGTATCGGATGTCCATGGGCTCTGCACAATGGGATTTGTATGGGGTGTGTATGGGTGTGCAAAGGTGTGCACAATGGGGTGTGTAAGGGGGGTTGTGGGGTGTGCACAATGGGATGTGTATGGGTGTGCACAATGGGGTGTGGGTGGTTGTATAGGGTGCACAATGGGGTTTGCACAACAGGGGTGTAAGGAGGGTTATGGGATGTGCAGGGGTGTGCACAATGGGGATGTGTATGGGGGTTATGGGGTGTGCAAGTGTGTGCACAATGGGGGCGTGTATGGGGTGCAGAATGAGGGTGCAGGGCTGTGTAGGGGGTGAACAAGGGGGCACACGGAAGGTTTGGGGTTTGCAGAAGGGGGTGCACAGGGTTGAAGGGGTTCACACAGAAGGGGTGCACAGGGACAGGTTGGGATGCTGTTGAGGTGCTCAGGGGTGCAGGGAGGTGCCCAGAGGAGTTCAGTGCCCTCCCTGCACCATCCAGTGCAGGATCCACATACCGGAATTGGGGTGCAGGACACAGCTGGTGGCACTCGGGTGCTCCACGGCACAAAGCAGCCATCCCCTTCCCCCCAGCACTTTCCAGGCTGCCCTAACAAAGCTGGGCAGCAAGGGCTGGACTTGAGCTGAAGACATGAGGGAGCATCACCCCTGACAGCGGCTGGAGAATCCCTTGAGATGGAGAATCCCAGATCCTGGTGCATCCCAAGGGAAGCACACTGGGAAGCAGAGACGTGGATGTGAGCCTTTGCAGGGGGTTGGTTTTAACCAAAGGAAACTAAAACAAAGCTGAACTCTTCAGCATTGCAGATGCAGAGAGCCCAGGAGGCAGGAGTGCTGCTCCCAGCCCTATCATGTTTTGCTGGGTGTGAATTAAACACTCCTGATCAGAAGCACTTTTGGGGTTTTAACCCCCGTCCCCTGCACTGAAATAAATTCCTGGCCTTTGCTTATTAGTTCTGCTGCAACAAAATCTTTGAAATATTAACGTGCATTTGGCTGCTTCCCTTAAGCAAATTACCAGGGCAGTTTGCAGAGCATCAGGCAATTCCCATCATTGCATTTTCCCAAGTGCTCCAGCGGTGCTGCCGCTGCTCCATCGCCGGCTCCTTCATTATTGATGAGCTGCTTTGCTCCAGCTCCCAGAAAGTGACCCCTCGCCTTTAAAGATGCTTTAACCACCTTTAAAACTAAAATGCAACTTGAATTCTGCTTTCCCCCTCCAGCTACTAGTTTATTTAGTGCTTCTAATTAGTCTTAACTCTTTCTCCCTGGGAAATCTGAAATTGTTAGCGAGACCTGGCACAGCAGCAGATGCTGTGAAAAAATATTTCATCTCTCTATTAGGGCTGCAAAGGGATGGGATTTGCAAGTGCAGCCCTTCATGGAATCATGGAATGGTTTGGGCTAAAAGGGACCTTAAAGCTCATCCAATTCCACCCCCCTACCATGGGCAAGGACACCTTCCACTAGCCCAGGTTTTTAAAAAATCGTGCCCAGATTTCTGCATGCAGGACTGAGAAGCATTTTAGGCACCAGGCCTGCAGGGAGATGTATCATCCTCCCTTATGATGCAGTTGTTTTTCTACTATTTGCTTGTATTCTTCCATGAATAATTATGTTTTATCTGTTTGACCACAGATTCCCTGAAGCCTGACTCATGGAGTGCTGCAGGTTCAACGTGAATCCTGGAGGGTTTTGCATCTGGGATGATAAATCCTGATGGAGATGCCTCTTGTAGCTGCCCCTGGCTCTTCCACATCTTAATAATAGTGCTGATAATAGGGGAGAAAAAGGATGTGAAATAAAGATTATCAAAAAGTCAATAGTATAAGTGTCTAAGAGCTGTATATTTTATCAAAATACTTGTTTTCACAGTGTAATTGTAGTTTAGCTTATCCTGTGCCTTTATCCCTTGATTTCTCCTTTCTTATTGCAGGACTTGAAGGCAGTTGAGTCTTATGGAATTCCAGAATGGTTTGGGTTGGAAGGGACTCTTAGGGATCATCCAGTTCCATCCCCTGCCATGGGCAGAAACACCTTCCTCTAGACCAGTTATTATTTTATATTTTATTGACCTTTATTTTATCTTGTTTCATTTAATTTAATTTTTGTTTTATTTAATTTCATTTATTTTTATTTCATTCTATTTCATTCTATTTCATTCTATTTCATTCTATTTCATTTCATTTCATTCAATTTCATTTCATTTATTTCATTTTGTATGAAGGAGGGTGCAGAACACAGCCCCAGAGCAATGCACATCTCTCAGGGAACCCCGACAGAGATGAGACATCAAGGCTGGAAACCCCAAGAGCCAAATTCCAGCTGATGGGGACAACCCACAGCTGAAAACAGCACCTTATTCCCTCATTCAGAAGAAAAAAAATAAAGAAGAATTTAGCCATAAAAGCAAAATTTGGAGAGGAGCTTTAGGGAATGGAGCTCCCTTGATTCCCATCCTCAGGCGAAGGCAACACATTGGATCCCAGCTCCCAGGCGGCTGATGCCTGTTCATTCTTCACACCTGAATTTAATCCCTGCAGGGGTTTAAACCTTTTCAAGCACAAAACCACGATGTGTTGGAGGGTTCTTGGCTGCCAGGACGCGCTTCCGAGCGGAATCCAGCGAGCTGGAACTCGCGCTGGGCCCGTGATTAACGCACGAGGCAGCTCCGGCTGCCGGAGCCCTGGCACAGCGGCTTCTCCAGACACGGATTTTGCCTCCTGGGTTGGCAGGAGCGCTCCTGGCAGAAGGGTTTGCTCACCAGTAGAGACCGTGGAGGGAGGGGTCTGACAGCACAGCAGCTTCCTCCAGGGAAGTCAGCTTTTTATATGGAATGTGTGATATTTAATTGTAGCAAATATGGATGTTTAGGAATGTCATAGAATCCCAGAATGGTTTAATAGGAAGGAATCTAAAAAATATCTCGTTCCACCCCTGCCCATGGGCAGGGACACCTTCCACTAGCCCAGGCTGCTCCAAGCCCCAGTGTCCAGCCTGGCCTTGGACACTTCCAGGGATCCACAACTTCTCTGGGCACCCTGTGCCAGGGCCTCCCCACCCTCATAGCCAGGAATTCCTCCCCAATATCCCATCCATTTCCTCTGGCAGTGGGAAGCCATTCCCCCTTGTCCTGTCGCTCCATCCCTCATCCAAAGTCCCTCCCCAGCTCTCTTGTATAGGAATATTTATTTTGTGTCATGTGTGGATATATATGAATGTACAATAATTTATTTTATAGGAATATTTACTTTGTGTTGTGTGTGGATATATATGAATGTCTAAGAATTTATTTTATATTTAAATGAATATATAAGTAATGAAAAGCTTAATGGATATAATGATTGAGAGAGACATGCACATAGAGAGAGACATTGAGAGAGACACACACACATAGAATCAAATTAATTTATATTGGAAAATTCATCTAAGATCATATATATAGATAAGAATAAAATAATGAAGAAAAAAAAAGAAAATGAAAAAGTGAATAAAAGTATAAAAAATAAAGAAAGGACAAAATTATCTGGAACAATTAACCATAATATCCATAATGTTCCCGACCACTCCCAGGAGCAGGTAAAGCCAGAAATTGAGTTTGACATTATCTGACATCCACAATTCTATTCTGACTGTTTCTTCAGGGCCTTCAAAGCTCATGGTGGCACGGAACGAGGTGTTTCCATCCTTCCTTCCCTCCTTCCTTCCCTCCTTCCTTCCCTCCATGAAAAGCAAAACATCAGGCTGGGGCCGGAGCCTCCAGGCTTTCCCCACGCGGGGGTGCCATGGGGATGCGGATCACACCGATCCTACAGCCAGGGGACAGGTGACAGCTCAGAGGCTGGCATTGCTCACTGCCTTGTGCCAGGAAAGGAAAACATAAAGAAGTATTAAAATATAGAGAAAAAGAGGCAAGAGAACACATGGGTTGGGAAGGGCAAGATTCATCAGGCATGCAGGAAGCACGGAATTCTACGGATGGGGGAATATAAGTTTCACAGGGCACGATGCATTTTCCCCCATGCACAGAATTCCTTGCTTCATTTAATAGGCTGAGGAAACCTCGAGGGAGCTGTCGGGGAGCCCCGGGGATGGAATCAGCCTCCTCCAGGTCCCGGTGGGGCGGGAGGATCCTTGGGCAGCCAGGATGGCTGCGGGGGGCTGGAGGTCTGGCCAGGCTGGAAGGGAGCCCGAGCAGCCCTGCCAGGTCCTGCTTGGGCCTGTTCCACCACATTTCGGGGAAGGCTGGTACACCCAACCAGCTTTGTTCCCCTCTCCCTGCTGTCCTGGCCTCTCCCCATTCCTCACTCCTCATGTTTACCATACCTGCAGGGGTGAGCCTGGGATTAATTTCCATGAGAACACGTTGCAAGTGTAAATATCTCTGAGCGGGGACGCTTGGCAGCTTTATGGGGTTTCTCTTCCTCCAGGAACTGGCAGCT